CGATTAGCTCGTGCCTTATTTACTTTCTACCTATTTATATATTTAACAATAGCAAAGGATTATCAAAAGGAACGTTTTTATATTTCTAATTTCTTTTGATATTTGTCATATTTACCGATGCTATAAAAATGAATAAACTATAAAAACAGCTCACAAAGAGAGCGACGTTTAAGCGACTGTAACTTTTTAACATCTGGAAACAATGTGATCTCTCGGAGGCATTAATCACAACAAAATTACATGAAAATTGCAGACTCGGTTTGATTGAGTCTGTACATTAAGACGTTTTAATTTTTCTTAAAAGCGTTGAGGAACCATTTTGTTTATGCAGATAGACGCTACGTTTCAATGAATGATAAAATAAACAATCTTGAGAATAAAACTGTTAAAAAACTTCTAATTGGGAAACAAAAATACGACAGAGACTGAAAATACTGAGTGTCTGTAAGCATTAGCTTACAACTGATCATTTATTTTATTGATGAAAAAGAAATGCTCTCAATTAATCTTTGTGAACGATGTTTTCATGAGACTTTTTGACATATTTTAGCTGTGTATGTTGACCTCCCCAGTGCAATACGCCAACCTACCACAGACTATCTACAAAAGTCAATGCGGGTCAAAACAAGTAAATTACATACATTGTATATAATACATGTTTACGATACAAAGCGATACAATATTATGCTATGTCCACTGCAATATCATGCAAAACAGTACAATGTATGATTATTTACCATCAAACCACTTGGTCCTCACCATTAAAGGCTCGTATCCCGACAGGGACTTTGGATTTGTCTATGTGAGTAAGCTATCCAGCTAGCTTAAGGAACGTCGGCGGTTCTACACAGGTGCTCGTTCGTTCTAAAATAATACACGGAAGGGTACCTGAGGTCTTCCTCCACCAGTAAAGCTGAAAAGTTGCAATATGATATATACCATGTTGGAGTGACGTAAACACCAACCAAAAATATTTAAAAATTACAAAAAAAAAACTGTAAAAATATAATATTATTGTACAGCATCTAAAGGTATCTGATAACATCTGAAGGTATCTGATAATTTTGATAATTTTACCTTTCTGTAACATTTCAATTCTACAATGTAATCAAGATTTTATGTCATTCTTCCTTTCCTCAGTTGATAAAATTATGTTGTCAAATCAGGAATATTTGATATAAAGAAATTCAACATAATTTCGAGCTCTTTAAAACAGATGTGTGACGTATTAACACATTTGCCAAGTGACCCAAGATGTACATCGTTGTGTTGTGGCACGGATTATTGTAATGATCATTGTGAAGTTCCAACACATGTTACAACTGTTAACCAGCATACAATACAAGGGCACATAACTCATACGTCAGATCTAACAACTAAAGGTTCGTTTTATATATCTGAAACTAATAGATAATGTTATAAGATGGTCAAAGGTGGCTCTCCCGTATTTTGATCTTTTCTCTTGTTTATACCATCAAGTAAACCTATCGATTTACACATGACTGTATGTCGTAAACTGTTAAAAAAGATTCAACTGAGATTTTATTTGTTTGGGTCGTCAGACCAAACAAATAATGGTAGCGAAATTTCAGACCCTGATGTGCTTATTTGCAAATACCGAAAGTAATCAAAACTCCTCGAAGCGGTTACTTCCCTTTATAAGTACACAAACGCTGAAAAATTAAGGGAAAATCACTGCGTAAAGATTGTCAAATGACAGGCGCATTAATTTTCAAGCCATTCTCGGGGAAGAAAAAATAGTTCCCGATTGGTCGAAGTTTTCTAATATTGTGTTATTCTTTACAGATAAACATGCTTATGTTAAGCGCCATGATTATTTACATCAGTGTTAAACAACAGGTTTACCGTGAAATTAATAAGGGTTACAAATCCTTATTTAGGATATAATGTGGTTTTCTTCAAGCAGTTGTCTTAAAACTTCGGTTACACGCTCTGTTAGGACGCGAGAGGTCTGGAGTTCAAATCTCAGATACGGCAATTTTTTTTAATTGTTTAAGCCAAATAAACATTGAATTGAAAATTAGTGTTGCAATTAGCCTTATAACCAATTTACTACAGTTATAACACTGGAAATAGCATTGGTGGCACTATACAAAAACAAATTGTTTTATAATCTCACAACCTTCACCTTTCTGACATTCTGAGACCCAAACAAATTCAGCACCTTCTGTGCTTTGATTTTGTACATGACGGGACTAGTAATAATTTATTTTTAAGATTTATCTATTATTTGATGAAGGTATGAACCAATAACTTGTGTGCAAATTTTCAGACTATTCTCTCATCCTGTTTTTCCAAAGCAACCATTTTTATGTGCAAAATGACCCCAAACGCACTTTCCTTAGATTCGCACAAAAATGATTTTCAATTTAATTCTTAGTAAATTTCTATGTTATGATTATGATATAGATTTTCCATATTTTTTACTTTATTTATGATTTTTAACCTCAGCAGATTAATTTTACCTGCAGTGAAGTATTTCGAAAGGATTTTGGGAACCCACTTGTGAAGCAACGTCTTGCAAGACCCTCGAAATATAGAAATTATATAGAAATAAATTTACAAAAGTAAAACCACGTGACGTAAGGCTTTCGGTGTGTGATCTAGAAAATGATGACAGTAAACATTAAAAAACTTTCTATTTATCAGTTACTATACATATAATGAAAATGAATAAAGTTAAAACTAAATAAAAAAATGTTATGCATTGTTTCATATTTATACTTAATTTCTTTTATTATTAAGGTTATCGATATCACGCGCCAAAAGCGTCACTTGTGACACCTTGAAATAATATAATTCCACTAATGTTAGCAAATGAATTGAATCTTTAATAATGATTTTATCTCGTTTATTTTACAGGTTATACTGTGCAAACAACAAAGGCACAACAGTTTCATTGCAACATATCCAACAATTACGTACATTTGTACACAAGCACTGTTCACCTGTGTGTTCACTTTGTAAGGCACCAGCTGAATTTCACCGACGCTCGCATGGCGTGTCAACACGAGGGAGCAGACCTCGTTGTCTTAGATACATACGAAAAGTCTTTAATACTGAGGGGCGAACTAGCTCGTCGTAAATTTGATTATTTACTCGTTTTTTTGCTATTTTTATGTTTACATTAATACCAGTACCAGATACAGAATTTTGAGTTTTATTTTATTTATTACTATTTGGTTAGATTTTTTTTTTATTTAAAAATAAATCAGTAATTGATATTGTTAGAAACTATGTGCGCATGAGCGTGTGCGTGTGCATGGATATTTTATCAAAAATGATAACCCCTTTCACGAAAAAGAGAAAAAATGCAATATGAAACCCCTAATTAATACAAATGAACAACAAAATAACACTACCTGTTTAATAGTAAAAAAGATTTGATGAACTGGCGGACGGATCAAAGAATGAATGAATAAACTAAAATGATAAAAAATAAATGAAATTTAAAATATTTTAATACTACTGTTTCAAGTGACTACCTCAGCAAATGAACAACACACACAAAAAATGCCATTTATTTTCGGAGACAATATTAAGACCGTTAATGATGTAAAAAGAGCGTGTAACATAAATTAATAATTTGACTTAAATTTATAAATCTTTTCAGGGAATATACATAGATCATTCTGGATAGGTGCTAGCGGTTCCAAAGCTTCCAATTTATTCTCTTGGGTTAATCGTTCCCACGTGGACAGGTCTGAGGCCGACTGGGGTGAAGATTTGGAAAATGTTTGCGGGCATGTGGTACAGGACTGCGTAGCTATGGTGAAATATGGCCACAAGTGGACAACATGCAATTGTGGTAGACATTTCTATTACGTTTGTCAACGATAATGAATAATGAATAAAACAATAATAAGAAGTTATAATTGTATTTTTCATTTCTATAAAACTTTAATCATGAGAAAAACGGATTAATTTGACATCTTCATATATTATGCAGATACATGTACTAAGCGTCGATAAAGACACAAGAAAAAACACGTGAGGAAGATAAATTCGATCAAATGTATAAGTAAATAAAAATAAAATAGCAGACTCCGGCATAAAGTATGCCTGCTAAACAAAAAAAAAAAAAAAACATTAACAAAGTAAAAACAACAATAAAAACACAACAACAGGAGACGAAAACCGCATGCATATACACTGTCAACAATATTAAATTTTATTATGGATTGACTAATACATTATTTAGAATACACCGAGAATTGAGTATTAATGCAAAAATCAGTCTTTCTTCTCTAACCCGATCACGATTATACGTACATTCACTTCTAAAAATTTAAGTACAACAAGAAGTATCTTTACAAAATATACATCTACTCGGACTAGGTAAATCTTATTTAACTTGCATCGTAATTCCGTAGTTTTGTCATAGCATTTAAATAAATGAAACACTGCAATATATGTTGTACCTTTACGTCACATTTTAATATACATATTAATATATGCTTCATTAATATACAAAATTATATCAATGTTATATCAATACAAATATTGGTATATCATCGGAGGAACCTTTGACAAAAGAGGATTTCGTTAAGTACTTTTGTCAAATAAACTTGACAGACTTATGGCAATCATAGATTGTGTGCGTTCGTCCGTGCCTGCGCGCGTTTCTGTGCGCGTGTTCATGTGTGTGGTTTGTTTACTCTCGCCGCCGGAAAAAAAAAACATATGGGCGAGCATGTACTTTATTTACAAAGCTACTATTTATTGGGAGCTGATATTTGTTTATTTTATATTTATGTCGGTACATGTGTTTATGTTTGTGCCATAATTCCCGTATCAAGGTCGTTTCTGTCCATGCACAGTGGCATTTGGACTATAACATGGGAAAAGTAAGTTAAATACACTTAAGATGTCCTATAACTAGGTGTTAAACATCCACGTAAGCCCTATGTAATACATGTTTGCGTCTTGGGCGTGAGGGATGTTGCACTAATTCATTATACCTCACGTACAGACTCAATCAGTCTGCAATTTTCATCTAGTTTTTACGGTGTCCTTATCGTGCCATTTAGAATGTCGTCCGTCGCGTCTAAGGGTAGACACACGACAATGCGAAGTGACATCGCGACAATGCGAAGCGACGCTCGACAACGCGAAGCGATATGCGACAATGCGAAGCGACGCTCGACAGTGTCAAACGATATGTCGCACTGTCGCCTAGAAATGTCGCGGTAAAAAAGGGCGACATTTCAGAGATGTCGCTTCGCGTTGTCGAGTGTCGCTTCGCATTGTCGAGCGTCGCTTCGCGTTGTCGCGATGTCACTTCGCGTTGTCGCGATGTCACTTCGCGTTGTCGCATTGTCACTTCGCATTGTCGAGTGTCGAGGTTGGTAGAAGTGCATACCACGACACTCGACAATGCGAAACGACAACGCGACAATGCGATACGACGCTCGACAATGCGAAGTGACACTCGACATCGCGAAGCGACATTTTTAAAATGTCGAGTAAATGTCGCGTTATTTTTATGATTTTTACACCGCGACGCTCAACATTGCGAAGCGACACTCGACAATGCGAAGCGACACTCGACAACGCGAAGCGATACTCGACAACGCGAAGCGACACTCGACAATGCGAAGCGACATTTGGAATAATATCGTATCGCATTGTCGTGCGTCTACCGGTGCTTGGTCAGAATTTACTAACTCACCGACAAACGGTGCGATCATGGAAGGGGTCGCACTAAACTGCTGACGAATTAGCTGACGATATAGAATATATAAGGAAACTGCTGACCAGTTAAACAAAGAAGGATTATCGAAAACTGCTGACCAGTTACACAAAGAAGGGAAACATTGAAGGTGTCAAATTGCCGTTGGTGATATTACAGGCGAGGTCGAGAAATACTTGATAAAAATGTTTTTTCAAGATGTCAATATTACAAATGATACATATTAATTATAAAAAATTCAATTGATATATATTGTATATTTCTCAATTTATTTTGATATAATATTTTATTTAAGTACCTGAATGAATTTTCTTTATGTGTTATACATTGGTTAAAATTTTAAAAATGTAGTCAAAATATGATGTACGAAAAATCATAATTTGTTTCAAGTACGTTTATAAAACTATGCATCATAGGTTAAAATATATACATGTACATATACGTAATGTATATTTTAACAAAATATAATTATTATGTCGTATTTAGTGCAAATATGAAATAAAGTGATTTCTGTTTCCTTATTTGTTGTTCGTATAATTGTATAAGTAATATTGAACAAAAATTAATAATGTGCTAATTGTTATAGTTAATAAGCTTTTATTACATTTATAAACAACATGTTTCCACAGATATCCATTAAACTGATAATTTATCGAGATCGATATGCCCCAAGGTCATATTAAAATCGATTTCACACGCGACGTGTCATTCTTGATTTATCTATGACAAAATACAATAAACAGTCAAAAATATGTTATTAAAATGCTGACCATATTGTAGAATCTGCTGACCAGTTAGATATATAGAGAAAAATATATTTAAATGCTACGAAATTGTTACTCATTATGCAAATTTAATATATTTAATAAAATAATGTCGACATTTCATTAAGTAAAAACACTGCTGACCAATTTAATGTTAATTCAAATTGATTTAAGCCGTAAAACTCTCTTATTATATATGGTCAGCAAATTTAACGCTCTTTACATTCAGGCGAGAAAATGCTGACCAGTTAAACATATAGTAGAATCTGCTGACCAGTTAGATATATAGGGAAACTGCTGACCAGTTAGATATATAGAGAAAAATATATTTTGTCGTGAAATTTTAATTCATTTTATAATGTACGAAATTCAAGATATTGTATAAAATTTTGTCGACATTTAATTAAGTAAAAACACTGCTGACCAATTTAATGTTAATTCAAATTGATTTAAGCCGTAAAACTCTCTTATTCTATATGGTCAGCAAATTTAACGCTCTTTACATTCAGGCGAGAAAATGCTGACCAGTTAAACATATATAGTAGAATCTGCTGACCAGTTAGATATATAGAGAAAAATATATTTTGCCGTGAAATTGTAATTCATTTTTATTATGTATGCAAATTCAATTTATTTTATAAAATTATGTCGACATTTAATTAAGTAAAAACACTGCTGACCAATTTAATGTTATTTCAAATTGATTTAAGCCGTAAAACATATATAGGGAAACTGCTGACCAGTTAGATATATAGAGAAAAATATATTTTGCCGTGAAATTGTAATTCATTTTTATTATGTATGCAAATTCAATTTATTTTATAAAATTATGTCGACATTTAATTAAGTAAAAACACTGCTGACCAATTTAATGTTATTTCAAATTGATTTAAGCCGTAAAACTCTTCTTATTCTATATGGTTAGCAAATTTAACGCTCTTTACATTCAGGCGAGAAAATGCTGACCAGTTAAACATATACACATGTAGTAGAATGTGCTGACCAGTTAGATATATAGGGAAACTGCTGACCAGTTAGAAATATAGAAAAAAATATATTTTGTCGTGAAATTTTAATTCATTTTATAATGTACGAAATTCAATATATTGTATAAAATTTTGTCGACATTTAATTAAGTTAAAACACTGCTGACTTATTTAATATTAATTCAAATTGCAATTATTGCTTTTGAAAATACATTTTTTTTTCCGTTACAAGATTTTTCTATTGAAATATCACTAACAAGAGATTTTGATAAAACTCATAACATCATAATTCTTTATAAAACATTAATTCAAATTTTTGCATATCTTTAGAGGTATAAAAAGCTGTTTAATTTATCCTTTTAAAATCACGGATTTATATTACATGTAGTAATGTAAATCCGTGTTAAAATGTATGATATTATGGTACTTTAAATGTATATATTAATTTAGTTTATAAACATAGTCATATAAATGCAAAAATTAAAAATATAATTAAAAGTTTCAAGTTTCAAGAGTTTATTCAGCATAAACATACAATATGTTCATTGCCATACATATGATATAATGTGCATGTAATATGACAAGAAAACAAACAAACAAACAAACAACAAAAATAAAATACATTTGGTAACAATGAGAATAACCCAAACAAACACACACACACACAAAAATATTTTTGAGAAAAGTGTAAAGAAATAGTAATTATTCAATATGTATTTAAACAGTCAGATTTATTGATTATACGTATCTCGTTTACATGTAGCTAGGTATAAATACTTTGCCAGTTTATTTATAATACTTTTTTGGCAAGATGTCATAATATTTCTAAATTTCTGGATACTAGGCCAAGAACAGTAATAATTAGGAAGGCAACGATATCTTATTTCTCTATAAAAGGGACACACTAATAGAAAATGATACTCATTTTCAACAACATTCATGTTACAACGTAAACAGATTCGTTCAGATCTTGGAATATTCCTGTGTCTACCTTCCTCTATCAGTAATTTGTGAGCAGAACATCTAAATCGACATAAAGTAGTACGATAATTTAAATTACTAACACACAACAAATATTTTTCCGCAACATGTTCATTTTTTAAATATGCAATAAGTTTCTAATTTAGGTAAACTGTTGATTTCACTTTGCCATTGTTGTAAGTATTGATCCTTTATTCGTGCTATTAAAATATTTAGTTGATCATTTGTAATATTTTGATTATTCCATAAAAACGGAAAACCTAACTCATTCAACAAATCTCGTACATCACTGGACCACTTGTTTAATAAAACATCATTATTATTTCTCATACTATAAATTCTATAAGTAAGTGTGTCGTTATTCTTAAGAATTCTGTACCAAAATTTCAATATCCTTATCTTTCTATATACAATTAATGGAAATCTTCCTAATTCTCCATACACT